AACCCTACCCCTTCCTCAACATCCAAGATGCCATCTTCAACGTCGACATCATCCACTGGCTCACCCTCCGCCAACTTCCTGTCGCTTTGGACGAGTTCCGATGACGATGACTATACTGTAGTACACGGCTGGAGCCTTTAGAGTTTAGGGGACTGCGCAGATATAACGTGGATCCAATAGGTCATGAGTCATTGCTTAACACTGCAGAACCGTTGTGGGGGAATGCCTTCAGGTATGCTCTGTATGTTCTGAGGTGAAGGCTCCTCAGGCAGGCTGCAGCTTCTTCCGAACAAGCAACTTGTGGCAGCATGGGACTGGTGCTGGTGTTTACAGCGGAGGAGATGCGGCAAAAGCACTGCATACCTACATCCCATTGGCCTCAAATGCAAAAGATCAAGAACTCTGGCTCACGATCCTCATGAACCCATTACCACACGTCTTGCTAGCAAAGTGGTAGCACAAAGCTGCACCACGAACAGGAAAAGGAATGCGAAAAGGGTAGAGCAGCGGCCGGAAGAGCGGCAATGACCATGACAAGTTGATTGTTGGAACATGAAGACCGGCATGAGCAGCAATTATGAAGGAAAAGAAGGCCCTGAATCCAAAACCCAACACGCCCTGCACCCAACCCTGACTCGAAACTCAAAGCCACCACACCCTAAACTTCGAGGCCTGAATCTCAAACCCACCCAAACTTCACGTCTAGGACCTAAATCCCCAAACCTAAACCCAGCACCCCAAAACCAATTCACAACAAACCCACCTCAGAGCAGCCTCTTTCACCGCAAGCTCAAACCGGCCCTGCCTGATCATGGGTACCATTTCAAACCCTATGGGATGTCTGAAGATTCTGGGGAGGTTTTGAGGGTTCATCCCTGGGAATTCCAAAGGGCTGAGTTTGAGAGATTCTCAACTGGGATTAAAGGTCCAGGGCATTGGTTTCAAGGTTGGGCTTCGGGTTTAGGGTCACGCTTTTGCTGATGATGCTGCTTCTGCAGCACCACCGCTACTGCGACTACACCCCACCAGTATGCGCAGTCTACATGCACTAAGTCTGCAGCCAAGGAAAAAAAAGCCGGTTCTGCTTTCTGAAAGGAAGAAAAGGGTTGACAGTTGAAAGGCTTCAGTCAGCTACAGACCCCCAAGTCCCACCCAAGCTGAGCCGGGCAGTGTAGACAGCAGGAATCTTCCGGACATTCCGAGCTCTAGTCACCGCGTTTCTGACAAAGACTTCAGGGTTTAGGTTTTACGGGTTTAGGGCTTAGGATGTGCAACAAAGATCCCATGAACCTGGGTACAATCCCTCCAGGGGAGGTCAGAAAAATTGCAATGTAATCCCAGTTTCCATTTCA